ACTTTAAAAGCGGTTGGGTCCATTTTATTAAAAATCATATCAACAATACAGTCTCTTAACATCCCTCTAATTTCATATCGTTCTCATCTCAAGTGAGAGAGAAATGCAACGTACTGATTGAATAACGCGTTAGAGGCTTTACATCCAAAATAATCGACATTTTTGCCCAATTAGGATTTTTAGAAGTTACGACTTTTAACCAACGATATCTTCTTCATTATGGACTCAAAAACGTTATACAGGGTGTCGCACTGAGAACCGCCGCGATCGATATCTGGCAAACTATAACTAGGGGAAATTTGAAAATTGGACAGTGTTCCAAAGTCATTGGAGGCACGCGATCTAAAATATTTTCAAGATGTTCACATTTCCCGTTATACCGGAAGTAGCTATCAACTTGCCAATTTTAAATGAAACACCCTATATATTATTACATTTTTGAATTTTACTGCAAGGTCTAAACATGTTTCATGTCTAATATCCTATACCTAAGTCTAACCGATTTTGATATACAGTAAAGTCCGCTTATAATGAACCCGGTTATAGTGAACTTTCGGTAAAAACGAACTTTTTTCCTTTAATTGAAACGTCGTCCATAAAGACCAACGTATTTTTTTACTGGTTACAACGAACTTCCGGATATAACGATCACTTTTTAGGTTAGTTGTATATTCACTTTCCGTTTATAACGAACTTCCACGCTCAGCAACACCAATCGTGCGGAGTTGTTTATATTAGTGAGAGCGAGAGACAGGCAGTGACTTGTTGTTTTTTGCCACGTTATGTATGTAAATCGTTTTAGAATGGAAAAACAAAAACGCAAAGCTTTTTCACTAAATAAAAAGTACGAGATTATTAACAAAATAAAAAGTGGAGTACAGCAGAATGACATTTGTAAAGAATTAGCACTTAGAAAGTCTAATGTTGCAACAATATGGAAAAACAGAGAAAACATTTTATCAGCGTATGACAAAACAAATGTTAGATGTAGGAAGTTAAAATTATCTGCACATAAAAAGGTTGACAAGGGACTTATTAAGTGGTTTACTCAAAAAAGACAAGAAAATGTTCCCATAAGTGGCAGTGTTTTGCAAGAAAATGCTAGTGGAATGGGGAGTAAAATCATAAACAAATAGTTTGTTTGTTCTAAAAGTTGGGAAGAGCGTTTCAAGAAGAGGCATAATATCAGTAGGAGAAAAATTGTTGGAGAGTCTGCCGGTGAAAAATTCTTCTTATGAAAACGTTAGAAGCGATCGATAAAAATGAAACATTTTCTATAAATCTCTTAGATGCAGT